GGCCTGTCCTGTCAGTGCCCTCCTCACCTCTGAGGCCTGACCTGTGCCCTCCTCACCTCTGGGGCCTGTCCTGTCAGTGCCCTCTTCACCTCTGAGGCCTGTCCTGTCAGTGCCCTCCTCACCTCTGAGGCCTGTCCTGTCGGTGCCCTCCTCACCTCTGAGGCCAGACCTGTCAGTGCCACCCTCTCCTCTGCCACGTTTGGTTGCATTGCCACCATCACTGTGTCAGTCCATCTCATTGAGGTCCCTTCTCTTTTGTGGTCCCTCCCTCTCCAAGCATGATAGCTTCTCCCGAGAAATGGCCTCTCCTGACAACAGGCCCAGTGTAGGCTTTATCTGGGCCCTGGTGGCACAATGGTTACAGTGCTTAGTTGTTAACGGAACGCTGAGGGCTTGAACTCACAACCACCCTGCAGGAGAGAGATGAGGCTGTCCATCTCCATAAAGATCACAGTCCTCAAAGTCTTGCAGGGTCAACTCTACTCTGTCCCACGGGCTCACCAGGAACGAACATCCTCTGGCTGGGCGTGTCCCACAGACCTGATGGGAGCAAGCATCCACTGCTGACCGCGGTTTTGTTACTTTAAGTCAGGAGTCCAGGGCTGCTGAGAGGCTCTGGTTGGGATGGAGCCCCCCCATCCAGTTCCCCTGGAAGTCTCATTGTGCGGACCACCCAGGCTAGGGGTCATGCCTTTGCTCCAACCGCTCCCTAGGATGGGTGAGCCACCAGCATCCTCTTGTGTCTGGCTCTGCCCTCCCCAAAGAGGCTGGACGAGACCAGGGGACCCAGCAGGAAATTGGCCTTCCAGTTGATGGTGGCCCTGCCTGGACCCCCTAACACCCTCATTAGTGTTCCCGTGCTGGCCCACGGGCAACCCTGGCTCCAGCAATCCTTGGTTAAGGGCAGGCTCTGGTCCATCAGGCTGAGTGTTCCTAGTGCTTCTGAAAGCAAGTGATACCAGAGTGACTATGCTGGCGTGAGCATGTCCATGGTCTCCTGTCCACGCGTGGATGTGTGGGGATGGCGGGTGGGATGGTCTTCTGTCCACATGTACACATGGGAGGATGGCTTGTTCAGGGGACTCCTCTGAAGGCCATCGGTGGAGGGCCTTGTTGTCTGGGCAGCAGGGAGATACAGCACTGTGATTGATTAGCGATGTCTGCTGTGGATGCTGCAAGGAGGGGCGCTCCTTCATCTAGTGCTGGGTGTGGAGAAGCATTAGAACTCAGCACACTCGACCCCTCACAGTGGTCCTGTAACAGACACCCCTCCCCACTTAGCACGCAAACCTGAGACCTGGAAGGGGGAGTGGCCTGCCCATGTCCGCTTAGCTGGAGGCTTGGGCACTGAGGCCAGGGTCCTTTGCCCGGGCACAGGTCCTTCCTGGTGTGGTGTTAAAGCGTCAAATGAGGTCCACACTGTCCAGGCCACCTTGGGACACCCCAGAGGCTAGAGCCACTGGCATCTGCCTGGTGCTGCCCCCTCAGGAAATGCACACCAAGTCCTTTTGTTTCCTGGGGGCTCAGGGCTGTGGCCTGCCCCAGGCTCAGACATATCTGTGCCCCCGAGAACTTCTAGAAGAGCGAGAAGACTTAGGCACAAGTGTGCGCACGTGCGTGCACACACACACACAGAGCAAGTGTGGGGGATGAAGGCCGCCAGAGGGGGTCGTAAGCCAAGTGTGATGTGTGGAGGAGCGACCACACGCAGTGGCTCTGTTGCACAGGTATTATTTAAAATGAAGGAAAAGAAGTGATGTTGTCCATGATGGGACTCCAAACAGCACGAAGAGCTTGTACTAGTTACAAGGACAAGTCTTCTGGTGAAGATTTTGTGATGAGCCCGGTGAAAGTGGTGTGCTTGGCAGAGAGCTGGGGCAAGAAAGCAGAGAGCATGCTCAGAAACTGACAGAAGTCAGCTCTGGGGGATCACAAGGGGAGCAGGCAGCGAGAGGGCTGCTGGATCACCCTGTGCCTGAAGCTGCATCAACCCCAGCCAGTCTTTAAGAATGGTCATGTCAGGTGCCACTGCATCCCCAAGTGGAAACAGTTCATTCTTCTTTTGCACCAACATCTTCGATCATATAGTCACATGACTTCTCATCTTTTTTTAAGTGAGAGGCAGAAATAGCAGGATAGGTAAGAAATTGCTCATGCTGGGTGTCAGCCCACGGGCCCGTCACTGCATACCCGGTGTCCTGGCCCCAGGCCCGCTTCCACAGTCCTGTCAGCTGTGGGGAGGCTGGGGAAAGTCGCATGCCCAGCACAAGGCGGGCACGGGCAGGAGCCCCACTACTGTCACTAGACATTTTTTCGTGACTGTGTGAGCGATGCTGTGAGCTACAGTGGAGTTATCTCCGGCCTGCGCAGAGAGGGGAGTCAGCCAGGCTGCAGCATGAGACGGGATTTACTGCTCATTTAAAACCTGAAAGCAAATGGATTTTTGAAAAACCCTTAAGCGTCGGGGAAGCCTGTCGCCTCCTGATGTTCTAGCTGTATTTATGGACCCTTCTCCAAATATAAGGACGTGCCTGTCACTTCACAAGTCTTGGGATGGGCTGCTCATCTATAAATACTGAGCTGCGGTGATTATTTCTCTATTTAATCCCCGTCCGAATCTTAGCCAATTGCATCTCCTCCTTTATTATTATCCTCTGAAGTAATCAGCCTGGAGACAAGGGCTGCTGAGTTTGAGAGTCGAAGGGGAAGATGAGAGGGAGGGAGGGAGGAAAGTAGGAGGCGAGATGGGGTTTCTTGGTTACCTCAAAACAAAGGGACGAGGCGGCAGCACCATCCCAGGTCCTGGTCAGCCAGGGCCAAGCCCCAGCTGGGCCACTCCCAGGAGCGAGGTGCTAACCACGAGGTCTTCAGGACTGCACCTGAACCTTCGTGTCCGTGTCTGTAAAATGGGCGGCGATTGTCACTAAGCTGAATGTCCAGTGGGTGTGTGACGGGCTCCGCACGGGAGGGTGGTTCTGGCCTGCCCTCCCTCCCTCTCACCTCTCTCCTCTCTCTTCTCTCCTCTCACCTCTCTCCTCTCTCCTCTCTCTGTTCAATGAACCAGGGCAGACACACTCCTGCAGGACGTGGAGGAAACAGAACAGTGCAGAGACAAGGACCCTTGTGGCCCCAGCCCCTGACCTCTGACCTCTAGCCGCGTGCCTGCCCCAGCTCCTCCCAGGGCCACGCGATCCCATTTGCACACCCACATTTTATAGACTTCTCATGAAATCTTTACAGAGGGCTTGTCCGTGGGAATTCCAGCCCTCACGAATCTCCCATTGCTTCCCAGCTGCCCTGTGATTCAGAGGGGCCAGCTTTGTGCTGTTCTAAAGGTCTTGCCCCCAGACAGGTCCAGAGGCCAGGCTAGCTCTCTCCAGTCCTGTAGATACACCAGAGGCCACCATTGTGCTCAGGACATCACAAACAGGGTGTTTCTGGTCGGGGTCAGGGACATCTGCAGTCACACAGCTAAGGGGACGCTCGCAGGGCCCAGAGCTCTCACCACACTGACCTTGGATCCAGAGCACAGCTGGGAGTGACCAATGATAGATTGGGATGTGTGCAGACAGACAGGAAGATGATAGATGGCCCATGGACAGACTGACAGACAAGTAGACAGTGACCCATAACTCACAGTCATTGGGTCAGAACCGACTCACAGCTGACCCTCTGGGGCTCCAGAGGCTGTAAACCAGGTGGGAGGAGATTCTGCATCGTGGCCCCACAGTAGCTGGAGAAGTAGAAGAGAGGTAGGAGATGGACAGGTACACAGGGATGGGGACAGGGACAGATGGACGGAAGTTGACACCTAGAGCGATGAGAAGATAGGTGGGCAAACTGACAGCAGAGAGAGGTAGGCACAGAGATGGATGCTGGGGAACTGACAGTTAAGCTGCTCTGGTGTCCGCTCACTCCTGGCGGCCTCGTGAACAGAGGCCAGGACCATAGTCTGGGCCCCCCCAGTCCCCTGCCCCCATCTCCAGCAGGATCGTGACGAAGGCAGGTGTGGGCAGCAGGTGGGGCAGGTCTGCTGCTGACGGTGGCGATGTGGCGGGGCTCCCGTGGGGCCTGCGTCCACTTTCACGTCTCCCCACAGGCCGCCGTGACTCCTCCGGCGTCCGCCTGCACTACACGGCCTCCCTGCGGCGCTACAATGCAGGCATCATGGAGCTGGGCCTGGTGTACACGCCCGTGATGGCCATCCCGCCGCGCGAGTCCGCCTTCGTGCTCACTGGCTACTGCACGGACAAGTGCACCCAGCTGGTGAGTGGGCCCCACGAGCGCGTCCCCCAGCACACCCTGCTCCCAGGGGTCACCCCACCTTCTGCACGGAGCAGGGGCTTTGCTCGCCCCTCGACCTCTGCTGCTTCACACTTGACCTTCTTCCTCTGTGTTCTCGAGACCACCTCCCCACCCACCTCCTCCGGGGGATGGCCGCCTGCCTCTGGCTGACCGCGGTCACCTGCCTGGCCCTGTCCTCACGGCTGTTGAGCCATCTCACTGAGCGGCTTCCTCGGCCTCCCTGACCCTTTTACCAAGCACAGCGTCCTTCCCCAGGGGCCAGCCTCTCCTGATGGCATGTTCAGAGTGCGTGAATCAAAGCCTCCCCATCCAGGCTTCCAAGCAGATCCTCCTGCCACCCTTGCAAATATCAAAGTGAAACACATCCATTCTTCAGTCTTCCCTCTTCACACACTTGACCTGACAGAAAAGACTACGACTTGGGTCAGATACCCCTTAGTGCTTGAGGTGACATCCTTGCTCTTTAGCTGTATAAGGGGTCTGTACAGCAGATTTCCCAGTGCCATGTGACTTTAGATTTCTTGGCTTCTCCTTCCCTGGGTGCTGGCCATGCTCCCACTTCTAAAGTTCCCAAATATCAGCCCTTCCTGGCACTACGCATTTGCGTTTGGTTTTGTTTTTCAAGCAGGCTTTGTTCATGAGAGCAATTTTAGGGTTACAGGGAAATGGTGCAGAGGCGGGGAGAGTCCCACGGACCCCTTGCATGTTGGATGGTCATACCTGTGAGTGTCTCCTTACATCCCCCGCACTTCTGCTGTTGAGTTGTGCATCTCTCTTGTTGAGAGCTGTTCTTCCATGTCTGCTGTGCCTTCTGCAAAGCTTTCTCCTGTGTTAACAGCCCATCCACAGTGTGGGGTGAGGAAGCTCTAGAGAATGCAGCCCAACGGCTAGTGGAAAGTGCATCGTGTCATATGCCCACCTGCAGTGTCCTGTAGGATAGGGTCACGCACAGAGCTCTCCAGACCTGCTGCACTGTCCACGTGTGTGTTTGTAAACTGTCTGGATTATTTAAGTTGTGTGCAGACAAGCAAATATAAGCACAAGAACCAGCAAGTCTGGAGGGCCAAGAGAAGGAACAGATATGTCTTGGAGAGGGTGCAGCCAAGTGCTCTTTGGAGGCAAGAATGATGAGGCTTCACCTCACGTACTTTGGACATGTTGCTAGGAGGGGCTGTTCCTTGGAGAAGGACATGATGCTGGGAAGGGTGGAGGGTCAGCAAAGGAGAGGAAGACCCTCAACCAGGTGGACTGACACGGTGACTGCTGCCATGGGCTCTTGTGTGTCCGGAAGTGTGAGGATGGCGCAGGACAGGACGGGGTTCAGATCTTTTGTTCATAGGGTTGCTATGAGTCATTCTCGACTCAATGACACCTAACAACAACAGCATTTAAAGCAATAAGGCTCAGAAATTGATAAACGGGCCAGTAGATCGAAGTTACTGTTGTCTGTCATTGCAGACCCTCCAGCAGTCACTGCCCGCCCTTGGAGCAGCTGCTGGATAGCTTCCACAGTAGCTGTAGGGACTCACAAGTGGGCTCATATATGTGGGGAAATTTCGGGTGTAAAATGAAGTCTTTCAAACCTGACATGTCTGTTTAGTAAGTGTTGGTGCAATGGGTAGCTAAAACTTTAGAAAAGAGTATGACGTTATCGACCTAACAACTTCTGTGTAAGTTACTTACTTTTCTAAAATTTATTTTTCTACTAATTTACTTACAAAATTCAAATACAAATTTGAACAAATTCTTTCCATTTCACTCATTCCCCCCCCCCATCAAACTGTACATCCCGATGATTAATCCTCTCTTTCCTCCTGCACATCCACATCCCTCTGCTTCCAGCCTCTCCCACCCCTCCTGGATCCTCATACTCCTTCTACAATAATGGTTTTATACAATATCGGTCCTTGTGGGACTGAGTCAGTTCACTCAGCATAATGCTCTCCAGTCCCTCCCAAGTTAGGTCATAATTTACAAAGTTATTGCTCCCGTATGCTGCGTAGTATTCTGTCGTGTGAATGTACCATAATTTCTCAATCCATTTGTTTGTGGTTTGACATTTGGGCTGTTTCCACGATCTTGCGATGGTGAATAATGCTGCTATGAACGTTGGTGTACAAATCTCAGTGTGTGTCTCATTTCTCATATTCTTAGGGTATATTGTTGTTGTTGTTGTTATGTGCCGTCGAGTTGCTTGCGACTCATAGCGACCTTATGTACAACAGCCCTAAGAATGGAGGAAAAAAGAAAAGAAAAAAAAATAGCCAGCAAGTCTCTCCCGGAGGAAGTGCAGCCAGGGTGCTCCTTCTAAGGCAGGTGGTGAGACTGAGACGCTTTGACAGTTTCTCAGAAAAGGACAGTCCTTGGAGAAGGTCATCAGGCTTCTTCTAGAGGGTCAGTGAGAAAGAGGAGGACCCGTACGAGGCTGGTTGACGCAGCAGCTGCAGCAAAGGGCCCGGGCTCACAGCGGTTGGAGGATGACGCAGGACGGGAGAGGCTTCATTTCCCTGTACTCAGTTGCTCTACATTGGAACTGACTGAAGAGCACATTACGACAATAACAATGACAACGTGCAAACATGGAGCCCCAGTTAACCCGGGCTGCTGCCCAAGGCTGGAATCTTTGTTAAGTCTTAGTGAGGCAGTGGCTAGAGGGCTTGGCTGCAAACTGAGAGGCCAGTGGCTTGAACCTGCAGCCTCTCAGTGGGGTGAAGAGGTCCCTTAGGGCCACTGGGAACTGATGTAACACCCACGTGGCGTTAATCTTCTGGAGGCAGGATTGCCTAGTTTCTTCCTGCGAAGTGTCTGGTGGATTTGAACTGCTGGTATTCAGGCTAGTGGCCAGACGCCCAGTGACTACACCACCCGTGCATAGTGTGTAGGGTCTGGTGCTTCACTGGGGGTTTGCAGCCCCAGCAGCTGGGCCAGGAAGATGGGAGCTCTCACCCCTTGTGACTTACGGCCTTGAGACCCAGTGGAGGGTCAGCTGGAAGTTGGTTCTGAGGCAGAGAGACGGGAGAATGCCATGGTTCGGGGCTGACCCCATCTCCCCGGCAGGCACTGCCCCCCTCCGGGATCCACATCTTCGCCTCCCAGCTGCACACGCACCTGACAGGCAGGAAGGTGGTCACGGTGCTGGCCCGGGATGGCCACGAGGTGGAGGTGGTGAACAGAGACACTCACTACAGCCCACATTTCCAGGTAGGGTGGTCAGGACACGTGTGGGAGGCCATGGGGCAGCCTACCCCTCTGGGTTTCTGGTGAGGGGACGTGGTGGACTCCCCCACCTGGAGGTGGACGGGGGAGGGGTACGGGCCAGGGTGGCTCTGGACCTGGTCTTTGCTCTTGTCCAGTTCCTGAGCACAGAGCACCTTTGCCTAAGAGGCTGGGCCAGGTGGTGGGGAGGGGTTCTTCTCTGAGACCCCCACTGCTTCTTGCCCCCTCTTTCTTGGCACCAGGAGATCCGCATGTTGAAGAAAGTGGTGTCCGTTTACCCAGTGAGTGCACCCCCCACCCCCACTGAGAATGCCATGGGATGGGAGTCTGGGGCAGGGAGACAGCAAAGCAAGACAAGGAAGGTCCCTGCAGGCCCAGACTTCCCCACGGGCTACCTTGTGACCCCCAGCGATGTGAGGTTGTGTTCATCTTGGGGGCAGGACCCACTGAGAGACCGCGCTGGGATGTACCTGGCAGTCGCACCCCGTCATGGCCCCCTCAGTTCCACTCTGACTGTTGGCACAAGGGGGCAGGTACTCACGGTCTCTCTGATGCTTGGCCCCCAGGGCGATGTGCTCATCACCTCCTGCACGTACAACACAGAGGAGAGGACGCGGGCCACCGTGGTAAGTCCACCACTTGGCTCTGACCCGTTTCCTGAAGCCACAAACGCAGAGTCACAGCCTCACCCCATCCCGCAGGGCTGGGAATGTTGGGGTGGTACAGTGTCTTTCAGCAGAGAGCTCACCACGGGGTGAGCGAGGAGGCGAGGGGGTCCTGTCGGGACCACATAGCGCCTCTTCTGTGTATGAGTTCACTGAGGTCTGGGAGAAGAGGAATTGCCAAGACCCCAGCCAACAGTGAACTGTGATGTGTCCAGGCAGACCCCCCCAGGCCAGGGCTTTATTTCCATCCCTGGGTGACCTCTTTCCCAGGCTGGGGCTGAGGGCCTGCTACCACTTCTCAGCCCCAGGCCCCAGCCCTAGGGCAAGGCCTCTCACGGTGCCAGGGAAGCCCTGCCCTCCCCCTTCCTAGGGAGATAACGAGGGAGTGCTGAGCTCTGGACTGGCAGGTCCCCCGAGCTCCTGCTGTGTGATAACTAAGCCATCTGCTCCTGGAGACAGTGTCCTTTGAAATGCTCTCTCCTTCCCAAGGGGAGGGTCTAAGGGCAGAGCTTCCTGGGGCCCTTTGATGTCTGAGCAGAGGATCAGTGCAGGGTCCGAAACTCATGCCAGGCAGGAGGCGATAGGGCCACAATAAAAGCCTAAAAGCCTGTCCCCTGGGCCTCTCAGGGCAGAGGGAATGTCCACTTCATGCCACCCGCTGAGCCAGAGCCAGACATCTGGTCACGGTGCCTCCCCCTCTGAAAGGGACACAGGCCGGGGCCTGACCTCCCAGGACCTCCGTAGGGGAAGGGCAGGACAGAAGCGGGCCTCTTACAGCTTCTTTGTTCTGCCATAAAGTAGCAAATGCCCTTCTTCACTCCCATGTTCCCACCAACGCTGGCCATCTGGTCAGTCCCTGCTCGGGGCCCCAGGCTGGCAGCTTGACATCACAGACTGCCACATCGCACTGGGTTCAAACTCGCAACCTTTGCTAACAGCTGAGCTCTAACCACCACGCCACCAGGGCTCCAGATGCCCCAGCTAAGCATAACCCCTGAGGACCCACAGAGACTCCAGGACTGGGAGCCTCTCACCTTGCTCTTTCAGGCCAGTGCTTCAGACACACTCCTTTCTGGGAGGGGGAGGGGGCAAACGGAGTGCTCAGAGTTCAGAGCGGGCAGTGAGGAGTCGGTCCCTCGCAGCCCACCTCACCACAGGCCACCTCCCCACAGGCCACCTCCCCGCAGGCCAGTCACTGCAGGCCACCTCCCCGCAGGTCTTCTCACCGCAGGCGTCACTGGTAGATCAGGCCTGAGAGGCCCCAGGACCCAGCCCTGTGGGCAGTGTGACCAGACCCACAGAGTGACTGTGCACCGGGGACTGGGGGTGGGCTTCAGATGTGACTTAGGAAGCCTGTGGTCAGGTGGCCTCAGGTCACCCTGGTGACCCTCTGCTCCCTGCACCCCACCTCCCCCAAACTCTGCTTGTCCTTCCTTCTCCTCTTCCTCTCCAGCTTTCCTCAGATGCCTCCCACGCAAAGCCCATGTGGGGTTCGCTCAGGTGCCTGTCCTAACACCTCTCACCCGCACTCTCAGGCCACAGGCTCTTCGACACCTCCGTTCTTCCCATAGCTCAGTTTCAGGATGACGGGTCCCCCTGGGATTCTGGGCCTCAAGCTCTGTCTGGAGGGCAGGAGGGCAGCTCCCCAGAGATCTGCAAGTCAGGCTGTGCCACTGGGCCTTGCTGGGGCTCAGTTTCTGGATCAGTAAAATGGACACTATGACAAACCGGTGACGGAGTAGCCTGCCATCTGTGGAGTGGGCACTGCCAGGGCAGTGATGAGGTCCTCTGGGCACTGGCATGACTGGGCGGAAGTAGTAATACAGCCCTGTGGTGCATCGGGCAGGGCTGGCTGGCAAAAGGCCCCCAAGCTTGCCAGCGGCTGATGTGTCCCATCCTACAGGGTGGCTTTGGGATCTTGGAGGAGATGTGTGTCAACTACGTGCACTACTACCCCCAGACGCAGTTAGAGCTGTGCAAGAGCGCGGTGGACCCTGGCTTCCTGCAGAAGTACTTCCGCCTGGTCAACGAGTATGCCTTCTCCCTCTCCGGGAGGTGGGGGGCACAAGGGGTCCACGGAGTCCAGAGGGACAGCAAGGAGTCACTCTGGTGACCCCATCCCACGTGCAGTGCAGGGAGGGATCTGCACCCCGGCCAGTACTGTGCCTTCTCCCTGCAGGTTCAACAGCGAGGATGTCTGCACTTGCCCACAGACCTCTGTCTCACAGCAGTTTGTCTCTGTGCCCTGGAACTCCTTCAACCGCGACATGCTCAAGGCCTTGTATGGCTTCGTGCCCATCGCCATGCACTGCAATAAGTCTTCCGCCGTGCGCTTCCAGGTATGCTGCCCAGGTGTACCACACAGGTGTGCTTCCCAGGTGTGCCACGCAGGTGTGCCACGCAGAATTGCTTAGCCTAGGTGTGCCACACAGGTGGGCTCATCCCCAGGCATGCCATGCAGGTGTGCTTACCCCAGGTGTGCCACACAGGTGTGCTTCCCAGGTGTGCTCATCCCCAGGTGTGCCACACAGTTGTGCTTCCCAGGTGTGCCACACAGGTTGTGCTCATCCCCAGGTGTGCCACGCAGGTGTGCTTACCCCAGGTGTGCCATGCAGGTGTGTGTGCCTCAGTTGTGCCACAAAGGTGGGCTCATTCCAGTTGTGCCACCGCAGCTGCCCCTGAATATGCTCACCTCCAAGTGAACCACCCCAAGTGTGCCACCCCAGCTCTGCTCAGCCCCAGGTGTGCCCTCCTTTGTGTGTGTCCATCTGGTGTGGTGTGGCTGCATGGCTGGGTCAGGCCTGCTGAGGCCTGTGAGATGGAGGGCAGCCCCCCTTCTGTGAGGCCCCACAAAGACCCTGTGTGAGTGACACCCTGCCTGCAAGGAAACAGAAGCAGCTAAGGGAAGGGTCAGAAGGGGACAGCCGTACAGACAACCTCACGGACCGACACCACTGTGACCCTCCCTGGGAGTCTGTGAGGTGCACAGGGTGCCAGGCAGCCTCCTCCAAGATTTAAAAATAAGCTACAGGGGAGGGGTGCTGAGGAAGGCGGGGCGCCCAGGCCTGAGACGCGGACAAGCCTCCTGAGTCCGGTGGGATTTAGAGACCCTCGCTGCTCAGGGAGCCGCCGGTCAGGAGAGGATGTCAGGCGGAATTCAGAGGATCTGCGTCCAGAGGTCAGGGAAGCGTTTCCCGGAAATTTGGGAGGCGGATGAGTTGCTGGGTGTCACGGTCCCACCTCTGAGGGCGACGCTCAGTGGTCTGAGGTCCTGTTTTCTGTCAGGGGGGCCGGAAGCAGAATCTGTGTCTGGAGGCTACATTCAGACAGAGGGTATGGGGGGGCGGGGATTTGGGGGTCAGAGGGCACCAGAGAATGCCTGGGCCTCTGGGCCGGGGACACTTCCATGCTTGGAGACCCGGAAGGAGGAGCCACTTTGGGAGGGGTCACACCGGTCCAGCCTTGACCTCAGTTTCTGCTCCCTCGCAGGGTGAGTGGGACCGACAGCCACTCCCGGAAGTAACGTCCACTCTGGAAGAGCCTGCCCCGCGGTGCCCAGCCAGCCAAGCCCGCAGCCCCAGCGGCCCCACCGTGGTCAACCTCGGTGGCGGCAAAGGCTAAGCTGGGGTCAGCTCCCCATGTACCCTCACACTGCCTTCTGCTCACCCCGCCCTCTGTGAAGACCCTGCAATGGAGAGGAAGGAGGCCAGCCACAGACATGGCCACGCCTAGCCCTCTCCCTGTCCTCGGCACCCCTGCATGATTTGGGGCTCCCTGCTGACCTGCCCAGCACCAGATGACCGCACTCTTGTTCCTACTGATGCAGCACGAGAATACCCCGACATTGCCCAGCGCCTGCGATCCCGGGAGCACTCTGCACTCCGGTCCTGGCTGCCCTCCCTGTCCCTCACAGGGCCAGCTGCCCCACGGCCAGGGTCCCCCTTCTGTGTGCGGTGGTCTGTGTGGGGCACACAGGATGTGAGCGTTAATGAGACACCGCCGGGCAGGGCAGCTCCTCCTTGTGGTGGGCGTCTGGCCCCCAGAGGCAGGACGAGGCATTTAGCTAGTTAGAGAGCTGCGGGGGAAATTGCTCTGTTGGGAGTAAATAGATATTTTCGCCCACCCAAAAGGAAGCCCTAACAGCAGTGATCGGCAGTGGAGAGGTGTCGCCAGAGGGCCTGGGGGACCGGCACCAGCTCTGTGGGGACACGGTGCCTCTCTGTAGTGGCCATCCTCATGGTGTGGCACGAGGTGCTTCTCGGGGCTCAGCGCCACAACTGCCTCAGCCACTGAATGAAGAGGGACATGGACAGGCTGCCTCACCCCCGACCCTCAGCTGTCTCATCTCCTCATCTGTCAGACGGATTACGTGTGTGAGGTTGTGGACGGGATTTTCTTGGTGACCACCCCTCCCAGGCAGAAGGTGCCCTCAGCCCCTCAGCCCTCTGGGAACTGGCCACTCCCCCGTGGTGGACGGGTTGGTGCCCGTGGATACTGTCTCTTGGATGGTTTCTAGAGGAGGTGATCCAGGAAGTGCTGCCTCTGTTCCCCTCGCCCGGCTGCCCAGTGCTTGGTCTGCTGAGGACAAGGAGGAGGCCGCCTGCCTGGGCGCCTTAAATCACCGTGAGGTCGCAGTGAAATGCCAGGTCCCCGGGGTGGCGGGGACGGCCGAGTGACAGGAGCAAAGTCCACGTCCTGTGGTCCTTGGGGGCAGGCAGGGCAGCCATGGAGACCCTTTCCTTCCTCTGACCAGGTGTGGTTTGAGGATCAGAGAGGACCCTGGCTAGCCCAGAGGGGAGCGAGAGGAAGGCCACACGGGGGAAGCACGCCTGACCTCACACCCCACCCCAACCCAGCCTTTCCCACAGACTCTGTCTTGTTCTTCAAACACTCAGAGAGTCTTTCTGAGGTCTCAGAATGCCAGCTCAGGGGACCCTGGGGGTCGAGAACCACACTAGCCCACAGCCGTCTGCCACCCACAGCAACCATCCAAACCTGCTTGCCAGAGACAGAAGCTCTGACTGAGGCAGGTGAGGGCAACCCACTGGGCCCCCACCCCCCTCCAACCCCCAGGTGGCCTCAGGTGCTGCCCTGGGTGAGGACAGTCACAGGGAAGGACAGTTAGGAGCTGGCACTGTCGTGCGAGGTGTTTTTCTAAGGTCCCTCCCTGAGCCCCCAGGACCCTGACCCCCTTGCTGCTCCTGTTCCCACTGGCAGGTGGGGAAGCTGAAGCTGGGACCTTAGTTACAGCCACGACCCAGGAGAGAGGTGGACACCCAAGGGAGTTCACACCTCCGGCTCCACAATGTGGGTGTTTATGTCATCACATGGAGGCATGAGGGGTCCTCTGTGGCTGAGATAGGATGGGGGTGCTCTGTTCAGGCTGGTGACCATGGTGTGGGGCTTGTCCACTTCCCTGAGGCAGGCGATCCCCTGCTGTGCAGCTCTGGGCCTTTGTCCCTTTATCCCCCTGAGCACAGGGTCCCCCAACCCCAGTGGGGCTTACGGGGTGGCACACATCCAGCTGAGCTCCCCAAGGTGCATTCACAGGGGTCAGTGGTGGTGGGGTGCCTAGGTGTTTCCCAGGCTGCAGGCCCCCGCTGGCACCGGTGTGTCTGCCTGAGTAGTCAGCACACTGTCCACTGTGTAGCCCTGTCCCCATGTCCCTGTGACCTGTGTGAGTGAATTAAATGAACTGGCCTGCAGCGTCTCGGTCACTCTCGCACACCGCAGACACGTGACTGTCGCATGTGGATACTGTGCCCTTGTCAGCAGCCTCAGAACATGTGGGCCATGCAGGTCCAACAGGGGGTGGGGGACCTGGCCCCACAGACAAGCACACAGCTCAGCATGGTGCTGGGGAGCCCCTCACAGGCCTGGCTCCTTGCGGGTGTGGGCCTGGACAGGACCTGCCCTCGTGGTTGGGAACGGTGCCTCCAGCTACCAGAAGGTTCTCCTCAGTCTGAAATAACCTACCATTGTCTAAAACACCCCCCTTGACAAGAGACTTGGAGTCAGGTGCCCAGAAAGCCCCCAGCTGCTGCTCCTCCGTGTTCATGTAGATGGGGAATTCAACGCTGGGGTGCCTGGCCCCCTTCTTCTCTACCCTGCTGCAGTAGAAAACACAGCTTGTTGTGCGAAGGGGACCCAGTGAGTCCAATGCTGTGCTCAGACCCGGCCCCAGGACAGTGCTCAGGCCTCCGGTGCGCAGTGCTTATCCGTCAAGTGACTGCAGAGCAGTCAGCCTGAGGCCGCACGCACACACACACACTCACACACACGCCTCCATGCCGCACACACGTGCGCATGCACACACACTCACACACACGCCTCCATGCCGCACACGCGTGCGCATGCACACACACTCACACACACGCCTCCATGCTGCACACGCGTGCACACACACACTCACACACACGCCTCCATGCCGCACACACACGCCTCCATGCCGCACACGCGTGCGCATGCACACACACTCACACACACGCCTCCATGCCGCACACGCGTGCGCATGCACACACACACGCGCACACACACGCCTCCATGCCGCACACGTGTGCGCACGCACACACACACCCTCCATGCTGCACACACAAACACACACTCACACACCCTCCATGCCGCACACACTCCCTCACGCAGAGGCCCCCATCTGCTAGGCAGCTCTTGGTACGAGACTCATCGTTCAAGAGTCCCAAACCAGAATACCAGTCAGTGGACCCCCGAGGAGGAGCTTGGAGCCTCAGTGGACTGGAGCACCTTGGAGGACCACACATTTGGGTGCAGATCGAGGTCTCTGGGTACCTGAGGCCCATTCGTGGGCTCTGGATGGTGGACACCACAGCTGTCCCCTGGGTGCCTGCCCTTCCTGCCTCCTCTGCTTCATTCTGCCGGTTTCCGAGTGTGGTCGTGCACTGGGCCCCGCTGCCCTCAGGGGCATCCATGCCAGGGGCAGACACACGGAGTGGCAGGGGGTGACGAGTGTGGAGCGGAGGGCCAGCAGGCTGGGGGAAAGGGATGCTGGTGCCCAGATTACCAGACGGCTCCCTGAGAACACAGGTCAGCGAGACCCCAGAGGAAGGACGCAAGCCCTTGGACACCTAAGACACGGCCTTTTGCAAAGGACAGACATGCAAAGGCCCTGAGGTCAGAACGCGCCTGACCTGTCTGATGAGTGAGGAGGCCAGTGCTGCCCAGCAGAGCGAGTGGTGGTGGGGAGTGGAGGTCACAGCGGCCTTGCGGACTCGGAGCTCCCGGGGCATGGGAGGGGCAAGGCCTGCATTCTCACTGCTGCGGAGTTAGAACCATCGCACAGGTGACCCTGCAGCGGGTTCACTGGGTGGAGACTATGCATCGCTCTGCCAAGGAACCACCGGCCGCCCCGGCCGCCCCCGGCCACCAGGGCTCCCTGGGCCTGCATCACAGCTGTTCTGTGCCACCCAGTCAGGACTGACTCACCGCTGACCCTCAAGTGTGTTTTCAGAGGCTGCAAGCCACATGGGAGGAGAGTGTCCATCCTTCTCCCACGGGACAGCCGGTGGATTTGAACCCTGTGTCTTGTGGTTGGCCGTGCAAGTCCTCACCATGAAGCCACCAGAGCTCTCTGGGCCAAGCCTCTCTGGCCATGTGTAGGGAAGGGGGATGGGGGTGGTAGAGGCCAGATGGGAGAGCAGGTGGGAGGCAAGAGGGGATCAGGTGGAACCAGGAGTGAGGCCGGGGCAGCATCCAGATGGAAAGAAGGCTGACAGTGCACAGGTGGGGGTGCGGTGAGACCTGTGTCCAGACACCTGAGAGATTTCTGCTGAATCTAGAAGGCTGGGGTGGGGCAGGGTGGGCAAGGGGCTTCCTCAGACCCTTCCGTACAGAATTGTGCACTGGCCCAGAGGCTGGCCACCAACCCCGGGACTGCGCTGGATCCCACAGACCCCAGTTACTGCTGAGAACAGCCACGCTCCACACAGAGAGTGAGACTCAATCGCTGACCCAGCTCTGCTGGACCTGCCAGGAGTTTACTCAGCCGCACAGGAAGCAGCTCAGGTCAGGCCCCACCAGGACCGCCTCAGGGGGGATGGGCCACGACTGACCACACTGTGGTTACCCTTCCCGTCTCCATCTGTCTCCAGATTCAGGGGTGTCACAGGACGAGTTTTCAATCAAGTGGCCCCGTGAGCCGCTGGCCTCTGGAGCGGCGGTCACCACTGCTGTGAGCTGGTCAGTAGATGCCCTTGACCCTCTTGTTGTCAGGGTCAAAGGGCGACTTCATGTGTGCCTGTGCAGCGTAAGTCACTCCCATCCTCTCCAGGGTGTAGTCCCCACTCTTCATAAAGTCCAGGGACACCTGTGAGAGACACAGCGGTCACTCGGTCCCCTGGCTGGGCTTAAACCCACTTGGCCCTCCAGCAGGTTCTCAACCCTCATTGCAACAATGTGCTGCTCTGAATTAGGGGGTTGGTGTGGTGACCCTTTGCCTCGGGGCTGGTGTGAGCACAGGGCCACCACAGGCGAGCCTGTGGCCGGAAGACTGTCTTTCTAGACAACACTTCTCCTGGGAGCCCTGGGTTTCAGGACAATCCCGGAAGGGGGCAGGACAGCCCCATTGAACCTAGCACAGAGCTTGGGTCCCCGGAACAGCTCCGCCCTGGAGCCCAGAGGGCCTGACCTATGCGAGGCACAGGCCTTTAGGCCAGTGGGGCTGGACGGGCTCTCTGGAGGCGTGGCCTCTGCATCCTCCCTCTGGGGGGGGCTGGAGCCGCCCCTCCAAGCAGCTAACCAGGCAGACTGTCAGGCAGGGAGGGGTACTGCTTCCAGCTGGCACAGCCCACATGAGAGGACACTTGTGTCGTCCCTATAACAAGGCCACCTGTCCCCCTGCATGGCCACTGGAGGTCTGGGTCTCTGCTCTGAAGCATGCGGGGTGGAATTTCGGTGGGAGCTTCTGGCTGCACCTCTGAGCCATGTATGCAGGACCAAGAGCACTGGGCTCCCCGCCGGCATACGGGCAGTGCCCAAAGTCACGGTCTCCTGGGCACTCAGGGACACCCTACTCAGACCTCAGGACCTCGAGGTCCACACTCTGATTGTCCCTGCTGCTGGCTGCCCCTGCTGCCCACCACACCCCCATCTTCAGCACGTGTCTCATTTACAAGCCCATCCTCTGAGGGTCCCCGGAGCGTGCGTCTAGGGAAGACACCTGGCTGCCCAAGTCCCCCAGCGTGCCTCGGAAGCCGCTGAGAACCTCCAGGCCCAGGTCCACCTGACACAAGAGGCTGCGTGAGTCAGTCAGCTAGGCAGCAGCACGCACCCCCTCTTGCTGACGGTGGTGTGACTCAGACATACGTTCAGCGCCCCGGAACTGGGGACTGTGGGGTGAGGGACAGGCTCATGCAGCCTCTCCGTAGGGATCTTTCTCTGAACACATAGGCCACCTTCCTGACCTCTCTTTGGGAGCTTAAAGGAGGTTCTGTCTCACAGCATCAGGGAGGAACCGGAACTGTGGAAACCACGGCCTGGCTCCCAACAGCTCCCTCTCCCCGAGGCAAGTCACCGACCTCCCAGGGCTATGGCCCTAAAGAACGGGGTCCTCACCAGGCAGCATGACGAGAGGGTCTTGGTTGTGATCTACAACCTCACTGTGCCTCAGTTTTCCCATCTGTAAGACAGAGCCACGTCGTCCCACCTGAAGGGCTGCATTGTTGTTGTTGGCCTTCGAGTCGAGCATGACTCATAGTGACCCTGTGAACAAAAGGCCTGAAGCCCCTCTACAACTATCGACATCTATCAAAGTTCACAGGGTGTCCGGAGGCGTGTGGTTTAGGAAGTGGATGCCACTCCTGCTTCCAAGAAGGGCTCCATGGCCCCTCTAAAATAAGGCGGAAGGCCTTGGTGTGCTGCAGGCAGTGCTGTTAACCATGAAAAGCCATTTGTTGAGATGCGCAGCGTCCCAGGCCCGAGTACCGGCAGCAGGACCTGGGGGCCTGGCAGGAGGCAGACAGGTGTACAGCATGTAGAAGGCCCCTGGGGTGGGGGCTTCAAGGTTGGTCTGCCACTCCCCGGGGCCCTGGAGGCTTCAGCTGCAGCTCCCTCTCCTCAGTTCTTCCCCAAGGGCTGCAGCCTCAGGGTGGACGTGTCCAGCAGAACAGTCAGGTGGACAGGAGGGCACGTAGGTGGTATCAGAGAAGCCCAGGCCAGGCTCCTTTCCCCCTCTCCTTCCTCAGGCACCTCCAGGCCTCTTCCCCGCTACCCTGCAGCCCCCAGACCTCCTGCAGAGACCCCAGCCTGGTCCATCCTTCCCACAATTGTTGTGCCCTCACTCTGACAGCGGGTCCCCAGTCTCAGGAGCAGGTGCGGGGCTCTGTCCATCTCACAGAGGGGGAGACTGAGGCTGGGGGAGGAAGGTCCTTGTCTAAGATCACAGACAAGTAAAGGGCAGAGCCCAGAGGCTGGGGAGGGGTGCCAGTGCCTGACCCCAAGCTCTGCATGACTCAGCCCCCACCCCACCCCACCCCCTGTCCCCCTAACTGGGCTCCTTCAGGAGATGCTTCCCAGGGGTGAGGCTGCATCCCCTTCCCCTCGGGCCTGCAAGCTCTTCCTGTGTGGAGGGAGGGGGGCCTGGGTAAAGCTTCCAGAAACAGCCTGGAGTGAGTCAGCCCCTTCTTGTCCTCCAGCCCAGGAAGGCGGGGCTCAGGGGCTGTGTGGAAGGTTCTCAGAATGTACCAGAAGTACATGATACCCCCAACTCTGACTGCTCCCTCCACGGCGGCCTGGTCTCAAGGTCTGCAGACAGGCATGAGGCAAGGGAAGTTTTGCTCCTTAAGAGGCCTCTGCTCCCTGACACTGAAAGGTAAGACAAGGGTGCAGTGTGCCCCCGGGAGCAGCCTTGTGTTCTGCTGAGGTCCCAGAATGTCTGCTCTCCAGCCGGGGATGGCTCTGCCAAGGTGGAACTCTGGCCTCTACCCCAGGACCTGGCTCCCTTCAGGTATATGGAGTTGGTGGTACATAGCCCCCCAGGATTGAAGCGGCTGTGTGTCCAGTGAAGAAGAGTGAGGAGAGGAGGCAAGTGGGGTCTTTCTCCCCAGAACAAAGGACTATCCAGGCTCCAGGCTCAGAAGGAGCCACGCTGGCCCTGGGCCTCTTTCTGATCAAGCAATGCCTGGTGCTTCCCCAGTGACTGCCCAGGAAGTCTGGGCACAAGACCCACTCAGCGGAGTCTCCCTCCTCCCAGACCCACTCACCGGGCTGCCACTCGGGTCCCGAATGTAGCCGTAGGCAACGGTCTTGTCGATGGCAAAGCCAAAGTCAGCTCTGCGGACGTGGCCCACCACCTGGCCATTTCTCCAGATGGCCTCCAGGCCGAACATGGGCACTTTCCTGGGTGGAGAGAGCACTGAGACCCCAGAGCCCTGCCCACCTCTCCTCGATGCCCCCCTTTGTCATGAGCTCAGGATCTGGGAGAAGCGATGGCATCGGAGGCGGTCAGCTCCCAGCAGAGCCCGAGACTCCTGTCGGCCCTGCCATTCTGGTTCCACCTCGGACTAGGGCACCACCTTCTGCTCAGGGGCGCCCCACTGCCCACAGTCCCCATGGGGCTCTCTTCACCCCCACTCTGGGTGTCATCTGTCACCAGCCCCCTCACAGGGCGGTGTTTTAGCCATGACACAAAGGGAGGTCCACACACAGTGACCAGCCAGGCCCATTCGGTCCTGGACTCTTCCTGCTTCAAATGTGAGGTTGAGATCACCATCCCTGGAGGCCCTGAGCTTGACCTCTGCCCCCCGACCCCGCTGGAGCCCCTCCTCTCCTGGTGGCAGGCTGTGGTTCCGGCCCATTTCCTTATCACTGTGGGCATCTGGGAGGGAGGCCCAGCTGAGGTCAGCCCCCTCCCTGCCCACACTCACTCGTCCACCGTGAAGCACAGTAGCCGGCGGCGAAGGCCTGAGGCCCGCTGCTGCTCCAGCGCCTCTCGGCCCAGGAAGGGCACGTTGGACCTGAGCTTGCAGGTGAAGGCCAGGCCCGCTTCCAGGGGGCTGTCGTCTGGACGCAAGTCTGCATGCCAGTGCCGGTAGCCTGGGGACAGGGAGGGTCATCAATGCCAGCAGAGGTCGCCGTGGGCACTGCCTGCCCACCACATCTGGCTCAAAACCCCACCCAGCATTGCTCCTGGGACGTGGGCAACTCGTGCAGGAGAGAACAGGCTTTCTCCATTCTGGAAGGTTCCCTGCTCCAGAACAGCCCTGCGCTGCCACAAGGCCACCCGCTCACCCTGGGGTGAGGAAGCACCCCGCTGGGGCTCAGGCTCCACTGCTCACATCTCCTCCAAGTGAGCATGGGACCCCCTCCTCCTGGACTTCATGTGTCCTAGGCGGTACGGTCCTCGTGGGAATGTGTGTAGGGTTTCAGCCTCTTCCACTGGGTTCCTGCCTAGGGCCCATCTTGCTGAACCTTACGTGCCCCAAATTCACCCCAAGCCCTTGCATGAACAGGAACAAGGAACGCCAGTCTCCCTCTGGGTCCCTGGTGCCCTGGGCACAGCAGCAGGAGGGTTTCAGGAAACAGGCCATGAAAGGAAGGGGGCATGTGTCCTAACTGGGTATGGCTGGCAAAGCCCCTCACACCCCCACTGGGCCCCCACACACCTTTCTCGATGCTCAGGGAGTCGATGGCCCGGTAGCCCGCGTTGACGAGGCCATGTTTTGCACCCGCAGCCATGACGGCCCTGTAAACCGGCACACAGTCCGCCCTGGGGACATGCAGCTCCCAGCCGAGCTCACCCACAAAGGACAGCCTCATGGCCCGGACCTGAGGGACAAAGCCACAACTCAGATGTGGATGGGCCACTGGGCAGGGCCCAGTGCTACTTACCAGGACAGTCACAGCTGTCACTACACTTGTGAGCTGACCTGGGGCTCAGGCCAGCCCACCTGTTCTCCCAGGAGGACAGTTCAGTAGCCTTTCTGGGATCGTTCTGGTGAAGCAGAAGGGGACACGGTGCCTGGGCTCAGGTCTTCTAAGCACAAAGTGGCCCAAGGCAGCCATGGAGTAGGTGGGATTCATACGACCTCACACCCCTAGCCCTTGGGCGTGTCCTGGGGAAGGCTCAGGGCGGGGGGGTGGGTGGGGGGTGGGGTGGATCCTGTCAGCTCAGGGGATGTTGAGAGGAGGGGGCACCCAGGAGGAAGAAGCTCCCTGCTGGCTGCCTGGAGCTGAGGGACCGCCTGGCATAGCTCCCTAGGCAGTGGCTATGCAGAGGGGCTTTTCTCTGGCATGGGGTCACTCACCAGACCCGTGACCCCGTTGGCCGCCTAGCGCTGGTTCTGGAACCTCGGGGACAGGTGTGGGCACTGAGCTAGCATCTGTCTGAGCTGCTCAAATTCTCAAAAGTGACAGTCATGCAAATCCAAAAACTTCTCCAACAGGGTAAAAAGGGAAGCCACACACTGGGAGAAAATATTTGGTAATGACATGTCTGGTAAGGGACTCATACCTAGAATTTATAGAATACTCCAGCACCTCGACAAGATAAAACAACCCAATCACAAAGTGGGCACAGGATATGAATAGACACTTCACCAAAGAACACCTTCAGATGCCAAAGAAACACATGAAGAAATGTTCAAAATCCCTAGCTCTAAGAGAGATGCAAATCAAAACAACTATGAGATATCATCTCACCCCAGTAAGAATAGCAAAATTCAACAGAGCAGCAAACAACAAATGCTGGCGAGGTTGTGGAGAAACCGGAACTTTTATTCACTGTTGGTGGGAGTGTCAAATGGTGCAACCATTGTGGAAGGCGGTGTGGTGCTTTCTCAAAAAGTTGGAAACAGAAATTCCATTTGACCCAGCAATTCCACTACTGGGAATATACCTTAAAGAAACCATAACTGCCACCAAAGCAGATATATGCACACCCATGTTTATCACGGCTTTGTTCACAATAGCAAAGAGTTGGAAGCCACCCAAGTGCCCATCAACAAACAAATGGATAAAGAAGCTATGGTATATTCACACAATTGAATACTATGCAGCACTGAAAAGCAAGGAATTAATAAAATATATGAAATGGGTGACCCTGGAGGACATTATGCTGAGTGAAATATCTCTGTCACAAAAGGACAAATACTGCATAGTGTCACTATTGTAAAACAGGACTGACACGGGGGTTGGAGAGAAACTAAAAAAAGAGGGGATAAATAATGAACATTGCGTTTAAATCAATGAAGGAAAGAACTGTCTAAAAGAAATATATGATTAGGTATTATTTATGTGACAACAGTTCTGAATAAGGACTGCGTAGCAAAGTGGACCTGCGGGGGCAGGATAGAGGGAAGAAACTGTGCAACAATGGAAGAATCTTTTTAAAGAGAAAAGCAAACTGGGGGTGGGGAGTAGAGAGGAAAGGGTGCAACAATGAATGACTGGAAATCCAAGTTGTCTGTAAACTTTCGTTAAAATATCAATAAAAAATTTTAAAACCCCAGCTAACACAATCAATGTTCAGTGACAGTCAGGAGCCCCAACAAAGATGCCTTTCACCAGGCGGGGTGCTGAGCTCGGAGCCAGCCTCATCCAAACAGGAGAAACGCTTCACCCGCGCACCTGCTAGCCACTCCACGACAGCTAATTTGCATTCACGCTCAGTCATGACAACGGAAGGCACTGAGAAACGGAATCTCACATGGACGGGTCACTCCACGGCCTCCCCTCGGTCCCTTGACAGCTTGGGGTGGCAAGGACTGGCTGGTCAGCTCCCCTCGAGGCCCCACACATGGGACCAGCCACTTGCAGGACTTTGGAGGTGAACAGGCGGGTGACCCAGCTGTTCGGGGCGGGGGGGAGTCTGGGGAGTGTTCCAGAGCCACGTGCCCATCCAATAGCAAGCACCTTGCACTTTTCTCTCCTTACAGGGTGTGGTTGGGGGCCCCCTCCCTCAAGGGGGCTGTATCGTGAAGGGGGAGCTGGATGTAGGTGGGATCGTGGAACTGAAAGGCCTCAGACCAGAAGCGAGGGAGCTCTGGTGACGTAGTGGAGGACCCCAAGGTGCCTCTCAGGCATTTTCTGTCCCCCATGGCCCTGAGGGCAGAAGGTGGACAACCTCCTCCCGGCCATTTACAGCCTCGACACCTGTTAAAGGGTCAGCTAAGAGCTGTTTTCATTTCAACAGCAAAGAGTTTGAGGATTTTTGAGATCAGGGGCAATGTTCCCTGGTCAAAACAGGACCCCTGGTCATCACAGAGCCACCGTGACCAGGGATGGAGATGCAGACCACACGAGGGAACCTGGAAAGGCCTCTACCCAGGCTGGGGGTGCTGGGCACTTTCTCCATGTGCCAGAGAGCGCTCCAGGGAGACGGTGCCCTTGAACAAGACCACGCTGGGGGGAAGGGAGGTGAGAGCTGGCCCTGCCAACAAGGCTGAGTGGGCACAGCACCCTGTGTCCAGCAGGGAGGCTCTGGGACAAACATCAGCCAACACAGTTATCTCCACAAACATAAGCTGGAGCTGGCTTTGTGCTTTAGCGTGCTGGCCTGGCCTCCTGGGGCTGTGGTCTGGCCTCCTGTGGCTGTAGTGTGGCCACCTGGGCCTGTGGCCTGACCTCCTGGGGCTGTGGCCTGGCTTCCTGGGCTGTGGTGTGGCCTCCTGGGGCCGTAGCCTGGCCTCCTGGTGCTGTGGACTGGCCTCCTGTGGCTGTGGTGTGCCCACCTGGGCTGTGGCGTGGCCTCCTGGGGCCGTAGCCTGGCCTCCTGGGGCCGTAGCCTGGCCTCCTGGGCTGTGGCCTGGCTTCCTGGGGCTGTGGCCTGGCTTCCTGGGGCTGTGGCCTGGACTCCTGGGCTGTGGCCTGGCCTCCTGGGGCTGTGGCCTGGACTCCTGGGGCTGTGGCCTGGACTCCTGGGCTGTGGCCTGGCTTCCTGAGCCAGAGGGCCCCTGCCTGCTATGCCCTAGCCCGGGGAGGCCTCAAGGATAAGGAGGGTGGGGCAGACAATGCAGTGGTCAGGCTGTGGCCACCACGAGCACAGAGAAGGACATGAGCATCGCAAAGGTGGGTAGGGCCACCGTCAGCCGTGAGCTTCTCTGTGGCTCAGACTCTCGGGCTGTGGTGAGAGGGGACCCCTGGAGAGCCCACCAGGCCCACACAGCATGAGCGTCCACACAGGGACCTCCTTTCCTTCCCATGTGGAGTTGGCCCAGGACCCCTCTTTTGGCAAGGCATGTGGTCTTGTACCCCTTTACCAGAAGAGTCTACCAGGAGACACTTAGCCTGGGATGGAGCTCTGTGGGCAGTGCGGTCTCCATGCGGTGCCCACCCCTCTCCGGGGATCTCTGTCTCAGGCCGAAAGCCTGGCTGCACAGCTGGCATGTGGGACAGTGAGGGAGGCCTCTCACCAGCCGGGGAGCCCCACAGCCTAGTGTCCTCACAGCCTCATGTTCCCACATCCCAGCGCCTCCACAGCTTGTGTCCACACAGCTGATGTCCCCACAACTGCTGTCCCTGTGGCTTGAACTAGAGGCTTTGTCCCCAGGACATACCTGTGACAGCAGGACAGAGACCAAGTCCTGGGCTCGCTGGGTGGTCAGCAAGGTTCAGCATGTCCCCACTCTTAGGCTGAGGTAACAGCCCTGGCGGGACGAGGCCAGGAACTATCTGTCCCACAGACTGTCCCCCCACCCACCGGACCCCAGCACGGGCTTCACAGCCGGCCACCCGGGGTGTGAAGACCCCTGGATGCGGCAGGTGCCACAGTGCCGTGAGCACAGGTGTCAGGAGGGGCAGACCCACCAGGTGCAAGTCTGAGGCCCACGGGGGGTCTGCCAGCTGACCTCTGTCTCCTGAGTCCCCATCCCTCCTACCCGGGATGGTGCTGAACCTCCTCTGATGTCCATGCGAGCCCTCCACAAAGTAGCCACTGCAAAGAGCCAAGCTCAGAGCGCCCTGCACGGTGAGCTGGGTGCTGTCCCCACCCAGTCTCTAGAAAAGGGTGCTGAGTCTCCCCAGGGATGAGCTGAAGGACCTTCCACAGACTCCAGGCGTGGGCAGGACAGCTGCGTTGTAGCATTCACCCTTTCCACTAGGGTAATGTGTTAGGTGTCAGGCTCTTAACCAAGAGGGCGGTGGTTCAAATCCACCAGGCACTCTGGGGAGAAAGACAGGCAATCTCTTCCCTTAAAGGTTTAGGTGTCAGAATCAACTCAAGGGCAGTGAATAAGGGTTTTGAGGGTGGTGTGAACACGACCCCTGCTGGCATGGTGGTCAGAATATTTGGCCGCTCCTGCAAAGGCTGGCAGTTCGAACCCATCTGGTCCTTCCTGGGAAGATAGATGTGGCAGTCCAGTCTGCCACGTTGGAAATCCTATGGAACAGCTCTGCTCTGTCCTGCAGGGCCGCTATGGGCTGGAATCAGCTGGGCAGGAATGGGTGGGGGCTTGGGGTTTGGGGGTGTCCATACTCCCACCAGGGCCAATTTCGAGCACCAGTGACTAAATCGCCATCAGCTCCTGAGTTGGTACCAACCCACACAGATAAGGCCTTGTAGCTACCAGGGCTGAGCAACATTCCGCCAGAGTTTCTCTAATTCCAGAGTTTTGAGTTCTTCACCATTAAACAGCGATGCTTCCTGCCCTCAGCCGACCTGCCTGGCTACTTCTCAGTTCCACGTGGCTGGGGGGTTGGTTCTGTGCTCTCTGTCAACATCACTCCCCTCAGGAAAGCCAGGCACCCCATGAGGCTGAAGGCTCAGAAGCCAGGAGGTGCTGGCTCACCCGCCCTACTTTGGATCAAAGGCCAGGGAGAGCCCCGGGCTG